TGCCCTGACTTAGATCAGCCCAGAGGTTGTTTCAGGGTTCGATAGATTGAGATTAAATTAAACTGATGTCGTTTAAACTGTTCTTCGTTTGTAGGAAACCTTCGTCATCACTATTTTGCGCGATCCCATCAGCCACTTCGAGTCATCATTCTACGTTAGTGGACTAGACTACCTTTTTGGCTTAGAGAACTCTTCAAATCCATTGCAGGAATTTCTTGCAAATGCTCAAAAGTATATGACAGACTATCTAAAGAAGGAATCCAGAGTAGACATACGTCTGAATCATGCGGTCAATGGTAAGTGGAGCAGATTAGGGTCAGCTACGAACTCCCATCGATAGAACCTTGAAACAACATCTGGACCTATGAGTTTATTTTTGCGGGAGGAGGGAAACCGGAGAACCCGGAGAAAAAACCTTGAAGCACAGGAGAAAACATAAAACAAGCAACTTTCCTCACATACGACATCCTGTTCGCATATATTGATTAGACGAACTCTTCCACCTCTACGCTATGTCCCATCCTAGGCAACAACCTACCTTAAAAACACTTGCACTGTAAACACTTGCACWATAAACACTTGCACTGTAAACACTTGCACTGTAAAGTGACTTGCATTGTAAAAACTTGCGCTGTAAACACTTGCACTGTAAACACTTGCACTGTAAACACTTGCACTGTAAACTGACTTGCATTCTAGACACTTGCACTGTAAACACTTGCACTGTAAACACTTGCACTGTAAACACTTGCTAAACACCATTTATAATACTTTCAGGTCAGATATTCGATCTTGGTCTCAAGCGCATCCACTTTTCGGACCAAGAAGTCATAAACAACRCAATAGAGGAACTGAATGAAGCAATAGATTTAGTTCTCATTGCTGAATACATGGATGAATCACTTGYTCTACTGAAGAGAGCCCTTTGTTGGGACATTGATGACATGGTGTATTTTAAACAACACACAAGGTCAAACGAATACAAGGATTTGAATATCACTTCCAAAATGAAGGTAATGAAAGCTACGGACACGGTGCAACATTGCGCGCAATATTGCAGGCAATCGATGTTGCAAGCCGGCGTGCCGGCGCCCATGATACAACTTGTGCTGCCTGTGGTTCGATGGAAGAAAAAATAATATCAATCCCTTTGCTCTTGGGAATCGAATTGTTTCTTATGTAAAACGATTGTATTGTTCCTGCCATCATGGTTGCCATCACGTGGTGATGCAAAACCTCTGTAGGTCATTTGCAACACAGTCACGTGCTGATATATCATTTTGATAACAAATCGATTCAGCCAAAGATCTCATTCATGGGGAATTAAGGCTTTGGTGGATGGCAAACAAACATTAATGTTTTTAAAATCAAAAATATTTAAAGTGTGGGTTGTTTCCTTTTTTTAACCCCTGGTAGGGATTTAGCGCTATGACATGAGGTCTCTGTCCAATAAACACTTCCTTCACCCCACAAATACTCTTGCATTTACTCATAGTTCAATTACGCAATTGCAATTGTAGTTTATATATATCTATTTTATCGTAGGAACAAATTACTGAATGGAATTCAGCCGACGTTTCTCTCTACAAATATTTCAACAATTCTTTATGGAAAAATATCGAAGCACAGGACAACAGCTTCTTTGATGAAGTGAAAGAACTAAAGTTAAGGAGACAGAATCTTGAACGAGAATGCATTGATTCTACATCCATAGACACAGAAACAGGGGAAATGCGGTTCAAATTAGTAAAAGATTTGCCTACAATAAATAAATATCTTTGCGACAAGATGAATATGGGAGAGACGGAATATATCGCCTATCTAAAAGAAAAGGCTAGAATAAGATTCCAAGACGCGGACAGACTTACTAGTAAGCAGTTTGAAGAGCTTGAGAATCGCGCACTTGGTAATTCGACTATCTTGTGAGGGGGATAGATATGAATGAAGTCTTCTGTATTCAACCTTCTACACTTATCAATAATTATATCAAGTCCGCCATTGCGTAATCGGCTGGCGACGCAAATGTGGACATCCTAGTCTCTCGTAGGAATCTATTCTACAGGCACAGAAAACAGTTGCCATTCAATAACAGTCATAAATCCGCTCATTACAGACTTCTTAAATAACTTGAAAGAACTTATTTATAAAACACTCGGTGAAGATGTTATAACACAAAACAAAATGCGCAAATTGTCACGCAACGTTGTTGYAATGCATGTAATTTGCACAGAGAATGCTGCATAAGCAAAAAAAATTCTTCGTTGCGCGCGCAGTGGAAGATCTCCATTCTTTACACAATCAATTGCTGCAAAAGAGAGCAGATATAGGTTGCGCACAGCGTGAAAATAGAAGCGGGATTTGTTTACTGACTTTAATTCGAGCACGTGCGTGACAAGTTGCATTTGTTGCCCGTAGGCCTACGTTGCTTGAAACCGACAACTCAACCTTTACATCCATTTACGATATTTTCAAAACATGGGATAAAAGAATGAAATGAATGCATTTTTTGTATCAAAACTTACCGGATTTTTTTATTTATTTAGTATTTGGAATATATTTATTTATGAAATAAATATTTGGTTAGCTAACCTTTTTAGTAGAAAACAAATACAAAATAAATAAATAAAACGAATGAAATAATTAAGAAAAGAGGAGAGTAGTAGGGAAATGAGAGTTCACCAACAAAGGACCTATTGTTCTTTTGGGACCGGACCCATTTTTAGGGTAGGGGGAGGGGTGATCTACATCCAACCATCATGGGAAGACCGGCCGGCCGCCCGAGTAGAGGTTCTGATCGAAATCGGGGCCTGGAAAGGTTTGGGGAAGGTGTTTTAAAACACAATTCAAAATCCTTTGTTTAAAAAACGAAGTTTTGAATTAATGAGCTGAACTCTTTTGTTAGAATGACATGTTTAATTAGCAGACTTAAATAAGAAGCTGTACTCATGGACATGATACGAGACGTTTGTACAAATCTCGTCAAACTGGTCGAAGTGCCAATGTCCAGAGAATGGGAAGCTTTTCTTTTTAACTTACCAAATATGAACTCTAGTGTGGCAATGATGAYAGCAAGTGATATGTCCTTCCCTGAGAGATACGAGAGACCAATTGTAAACTTCGTCAACGATATGTGTGATGTGAAGGAAAATGATGGTCATGAGTTATCATCAGAAATATTTAACGAGTTTGTAATTGCCATTTTAAATTGAATAAWTTCAGGGTTTCTTTTTATTGAGATTCAGTGATCATTTGACTGCGAAGGGTGAAGATATGGGTTGTGGGTGCTTGAGCTCTATTCCCAACTTAACTTTTCGAGATATTTTCCGAAAAGTTCGTTGCATTCTTGCCTGCTGTGGTGGTAAGGTGGTGATTGAAAACTCTCAAATTGATGGACAACCACAAGCTGTTGGAAAAGTTGTATTACAACCTGAACCAGGGAGAARGTTTCGGAGGCGTAGATGCCTTGTTCCATGCTGCCAAAAAGAAGAACAAAAAGATCACTAAGAAACAAGTTCGAGAATGGTTGAGAGGACAGCGTGTGTACTCCATTCATCGACCGGTTCAAAAGCACTTTCGCAGAAATCGTGTTATCGTTGGATCGATGGATGATGTGTGGGAAATAGACTTGATTGACATGCAATCGCTGAAGAAATACAATAGCCATTACAGATACATACTCACCTGCRTTGACGTCTTATCCAAGTACGCATGGGTGGTTCCAATCAAAGACAAATCTGGACCGTCTTTAGTAAAGGCCTTCAAACAAGTATTAGATGAGTCTGACCGAAAACCCAAAAAGATTCACTCTGACCGTGGAAGCGAATTTACAAACAAGAATTTTCAGACCTTTCTGAAAGAAAGGAACATTGGATTTTATCACACTTTTAATGAAACGAAAGCCAGTATCATCGAGCGTTTTAACAGAACTCTGAAACAACGAATGTATCGGTACTTTACATGGAAAGGGACATTGAAATATTTAGACGTCCTACCTGAGATTATTAATGCATACAATAATTCATATCACCGAAGTATCCAGACAACTCCAAGGTCAGTCAATAAGAGTAATGAAAGTGAAGTGTGGCAAACTCTTTATGGAGACACATTGATGTGGAGACCTCCCTATAAGTTCCAGGTGGGAGACCATGTACGAATTTCCAAGGCAAAGAAACTGTTYGAAAAGGGATATCTGCCCAAATGGAGTGAAGAGATTTTTACCATTTCCAAACGAATCCCTCGAAACCCACCTGTCTATAAGGCTAAAGAGTTTGATGGAGAGGCGTTAGAAGGAACCTTTTACGAGCAGGAATTGCAGAGAGTGCAGACTAAAGGGGATGAGGAAGTGTACAAGATAGAAAAGATCTTGAGAACACGTAAAAACGGTAAACAAAAGGAATACWTTGTAAAATGGTTTGGGTACCCAGATAAATATAACAGTTGGGTGTCAAGCACTGATTTTGAATAARGTTTATTAAACGACTGTTTTGTGTCCATTTTCTCTTGGACCACCATGACGGCTAGTCAGTTTTACATCACTCTTCCCAGCAATAGCTCTATGGCTATATTTCCTAATAACACTCTTGCGGAATACAAAGTCAAACTYCCTGAACGGCTGAATTTGGTGGGGGATTGGGAAGTGGGACTGGCCTCCATCACCTTTCCCCGGACGTGGTTTCACATTAGGATGGAAAACCGGAAGTTTTATTATGACAGTGGTGACGGAGTATGGACGGTAGGAATCATTCCAATGGGATACTACAAGTCAATCCAAGAAGTCACCGACGCAATGGAGACTGCCCTATCTAACGATGGAGTGAACGATATTTCTTTTACGCTGGATGGTTTATCGCAAAAAGTCACCGTGACCTTGAATGCGGGAGGGCGACTCAGTTTTCAGAACGACCTGGGAGTGATGCTCGGATTTGGCAATGATATTATTCTTACCAAAACTACGACTGCGTCCTACGTGTCGGATCTGAATATTGGCCTCCAGTCTCTGTTTGTCTACTTGGACGTACTGGATATGCAAGTCGTGGGAGATGCGAGWGCTCCACTTTTGCGCATTGTTCCTGCAGGCGGTAAGGATGGGGAAGTCGTTACCAAGGATTATGAGCACCCCCAGTACATGCCGCTAGCTACGCGAGAATTTGAGACTTTACAAGTCCTTATAACCGACGACTCGGGAAGTAAAGTACCATTTGAACGTGGACGTGTGGTGGTAACGTTACACTTTAGACTTCGTCAATCCCCATATTTTCGATAAGATGAAAAACCAACGAGGAGCTGGACAMATGATGGTCTTTCACGGTRGGCGTTTTCAAAAAGGATRYGGACAAGTGGGTTATGGCCTGRGATCCTTTTTCCAATCTCTAGCAAGAARTGCCATGCCATTTTTGCAGAAAGGAGCCCAATCGTTGGGCAAAGCAACTCTTGATGCAGGTGTRAATATTGCAAAAGATGTTTTAGCWGGAAACAACCTGAAAGATTCGGCTCAAGCTAGATTACAACAGACTGCAAAGACCATAAAAGACCAGGCCCTGAACCACATCACTTCTCAAGTGGGAAGCGGGAGCTCGAGAC